AACAACTCTCATCCTAGGTAACAACAACACTTTCTTAGGAATATGGAATATTAGAACTCAAGAATAAATGAACTCATACCAAATGGCAACAGTTGTTTTGCTTATACTGAATAAACAAGTATGATATTTTTGCAAGGCTTATATGGCCCCTAGAGCTGGCTCTTTGTTGCACTGTGCTAGTTCAGTGAAAAAATGTTGTATTAATTTTGTATAACAAAATGGGGAAATATTAAAATATTATTGCTCTTGACTTTTTGTCCTCTTTAACATCTTATTTACCTGCCTGAGATAGAACCTCCCCTAGCTAACAATCATCTGGCTGGTTTGCTTTAACTAATGACTAGTTCTGCTGTTCCCAATGATGGAGGACTCAAGGGAAATACTTACTGAGATCGCAGTTTCAGGTAGGGTGAGAAAAAGAGATTCAGATACAAGGAGCTGAAGAGTAGAATACAAAGTGTTCCACATTATTTCTCTTCTACTCACTTACCTTTCTACCATTAATTATCACTTATATTACAATGCCACCATAGTATAATGGAGATAGAGTCCTATTTGACTGACTGAGCTGAGTAACTATCACAGTCCCTCTCAGGTGCCAAAGAGTTTATAATCTGAATGGGCAAGCCAGAAAAATCAGTGGGAGAAAAGTAGTACTAATTTTTCTGTTCTACTGACAGAGAACTGAAGTCCTGAACTGGGATAGTCCTCAGCTGGGATAGTTCTAAGCACACCCTATTCCATGCCCCTCCTCCCTCTTGCTTGCTCCAAATCTGGAAGCATGTTGGTGAGCTTGCTCTGGGTCTTCCCTTTGTGACCATTCTTGACACCTCAATCTCTACTGTACTTGAGACTGGCCACTAGGAATGATGCTAGAGCAGGCTCACCAACATATTTCCAGGTTTGGAGCAGGCTAGTAGGAGCAGGAAAGGCTTGCTTGGAAGCATGCTACTTATCTTAACTGACTTGCTCAATATCAGCCAGGAGGTCTACAGTAGAGGCAAAAACTGAGTGCAGAGTCCATCTCAAGACCCTCCACTCTACCCTTACTGCCTTCTATTCCTTCTAAATGATCAACGTATGTTTCTTTTTCATTCTAACTCACGGCTACTTCTTGTCTTAATTTGTTCAACAAGTAACTTCTGTCTTTTCAAGCTCCTCATTGTAATTACTTTTCAAAGTCTTGAAGTGAAACTCTTAATTATCCAGATCTGCTTTGGTCACTATGTGCTCTGCCTCTTTTGAACTAAGCCAGTTATTCCTCTGGTATCATTGTCCTTTCTACATCATTTTCAAGGGAAGTCTAGATTTTGAGTACTTGTTTATAAGGTCTTGGATTCTGCTCAAAATCTGCAGGACATCACAAAGGAGCAAAAGGCTACTTATGCTCTGTTTGCCTTGCCACCCTTCAAGGAGCTAGGCATGCTCTGACCAGGCTACTTAGATAACTCAGAGATTGTAGTTTCCATTTATGTTCAGTAACTTTTTCTAAGCCTCTTGCTAACTGAATAATGTCTTCCAATTCAATCCTCTAAGATCAGCATCCCCAAGAGCTGCAAGGAAACGGAATATATTCTGGAATTTATGAGCAACAATACATTTAGAACGTGGCCTAAGAATCTCTATCTTAAATGGTTGTCTTCAGTCACCTCTTTCCGTAAGTTTTCTGTGCAATTAACAGTAGAGCATTACTCAGAATATACTCCCTGCCCTTCACAATGACCATATCAGTACATAATGAGTTATGATTTCCCAAAAGGAGTTATTAGCTTTGTTTTTTTCAGAACTTCAGCTCTTACTGAACTCACTACAGTTCAGGCTAGTTAGGCCATACAAGTCAAGCTGCCATCACATCACTTAAAACAATCAAACTTAGTTGCCCCCTCTGCCAAATCTACCCAGCAGTTTCCATTTATACAGGTACAAAACAGCCTGCAAAGATAAAGTATCTTATTTTTGTCTGAGGTGATGAAACATCCTTAGATTATCAATAATTGAATGATTGAATGATACTTACTTAGCACATGATGGAACATTAATACTATGTATTTGCACGTTGTCATGGAAAGATACTACAACAGGGTGCAGTTACTTTCTATATACTTTTGAAGGTATGAATTAACATTGACACATTTCATGGATTCTTGTACACCAATTGCATGTTTTTCTCCTTGGATTAACATATGTTGATGCAAGTCAATGTTACTGGCACCGCTACTAGTGTCAGACACAGGTGTTACTGGCAATAGATATCTATCCTAGATCTGTACACAAATCTCATTACCATAGCACCAAGCATTCTGTAATGGACTAATCCTCAAAACATGTATGTCAGGTAGGCAGATGGGCAACTGGGATACAGAGAAACTAAGAGCCAAATGAACAAATTGACTTAGGTTCTTAAACACAAAATTTAGATCCTTAAAACTCTCCTCTCAGCTGACTCTTTTTGGAAATATCTAGTCGCTAGGTACCTAAGTTTCTGCTGTGTAGGTTATAGCTGTGTTGGTCTAAGGTTCTTTGGGTAAATCTTTTATTAGACTAACTAGTTGGTCAAATAAAAGATAGTGGATTTACCCAAAGAACCTTGTCTACCTAAATTTTTGCTGGCACCCACATTTCTTCTGTTGGACATTCACACAAGTCTTGACAGCACCAAGCAGTTCAATACCTACCTTCTGGCAGAATTCATAAATAGTCTTAGGTTATGGACTGACAAAAATTTTTACAGTGTTAAAGTATAGGATGGCTTATCTAACATCAGCTGAAAGACAGCAATCTAACTTGAATCGATAGAGAAACAGTACAGAAATTTGATGCCTCAGTCTAACCTAAACCAATCTGAATTGGAGGTATTGCACACCAGGTCCATCTTAGACAGCTTGAGTCATTTTTGAAGCAGACTATGTGCACCAAATTCTGTATAGTTATGGGTTTACATCAATCTATGTTCACTTAGATCAGTCTAAACATGATGTCTGTATGTGCTCTAGATGTGCAAGAGGTTAGGTATTACTCCTAACTTGCTAGAATTATTACACTTTATTACCTGATCTCTCTAGCATAAACTTTTCCTTTCTATCCTGTGTGGTACCTTTGGAGGTGGTCAGCCACCCTGGCACATGGCCCTCCCTCCACTATGGTTTGAACCGTCAGCTCTTTCCTTGTCCCACCTCACCTCCAGTCTCTCACCTATCATGACTTTAATGTTATCTTGTTTTTTGTTGTGGGGAGGCTGTCTCTAGATATGGGGGTAACTTTGCTGATTGTCTTGCCTGCCCAACTAGGCCTCACCCCACCTGGGGCTTTTGCTCTCCCTGGAGTGCTTATCTTTAAGAGAGTGCTCCTACAGACTTCTGACCACCTCTCCGGCTTCAGCTGTTACAGCCTTGGCCCACTTTTTCTCTGGCCATACCCTCAATTTTGGTCCACTGGGTAAAAACTCAGTTCCTGGGTATCTACCCTGCCTTGGTGGCAGTCCCTTCCAGGATTTGAGTTACATTCTGCCAGTCTTAGCCCCTCTGGCTCAGGACTAGCTTTGGGCACCTATGGAAAGGGAATGCCACCCACACCCCAACTCATAGCTTCCTCTGTCCCTATAGCCACAAGCAGGTCCTCCTGTCTTAAATTCAAAATGAAAAATAAACACAAGCCAGATGCTTCACAAAACAAATAGTCTCCCTTCTTCAAGGTAAATGTTGCCTGCAGGCCCTACCTCCCTTGAGGCCATCTCACGCCAGCTCCCATGGGTGGTTGGTCTGTCCATCTCCAGCAGACCCTCTCTCCTGGGTGCCCCTCTCCCTGCTGCATACAAGGAGCATCCCATGCATGGTCAGTGACTGGGTTTATATCCCCAAGCCCAGCCTCCATCCAGCCATGTGACTGAATTTTCTGTACCCAGAGATCTGGTGCAGCTAATTGCCTCATTAGCTGCCTGGTATTTTTAGTCCTTGGCTCAGGCCACCTAGGTTGCTACTACATGCTCCCTTCCTGGCCCTTGGTTTCTTAGTCTCTGGGCATATCTACACATGATTTTAAGTGGGCTTAAATTTAATGTGCATTAAACTAATGCAGATTAAATGGATTTTGGCAGGTGTCTACATGTGGTGGGATTTAAGACTAACTTTAGTCCCAGGTCAGTCCAGACCTGCCATGTGCTCCTTTGGCCCCTGGGGGGAGCTCCACCCCCCCGCTCCCCCGGACACATGGCTTCCAGCACTTGGAAGCCATGCTGAAGCCACAGTCAGCTGCCAGTACTCAGCAGCCATCTTAAAAGCACACCCTCCACACTGCGACCTCTGGGTTGATGCTTCCCATCTCACAGCAGCAGTGTGGCACAGACAGAGGCAACATGTGCCTGCTGTGCCCCTGCTGCAGCTGAACTTTCCAGCCCTGCCTGGCCAGCTCCTGGCTATGGCACCCAGGGACAGGATCCCCCACTCCTCAGGGATGCTGCAGCTGTCCTGTTCACCCACTGCTATTCTGTATGCCTGACAGTGGGCCACCTGGCACCACCTGAATCCCCTACCCACTCTGCCCACCTGCTGGACAACTGATACATGGTCTCCGGGGCCCCGCCATCATGCAGTTCCTATTGCCATCCATGGTAACCACCGGCTCCAGGATGCCCCTGCCAGGACTGTCATTGCCCTCCTGTCCCACCAGCCCTGTCACCTCTGGAGCCACCACACCAGCCAGGACTGGTGGCAGCGCATTGTGCTGCAGGAATGGGATGATCACCAGTGGGTCAACATGTTCTGGATGATCTGGGCCACCTTTGACGCCCTTCTGCACCAGCTATGGCCCCACCTGGAGCTTCAGTTCATGGAGGTGTGCTTGCCCATCCCTGCTGACACCCACCTGCCCTGCAGCCCACACACCACCTTACTCTCTGCCCACCCCCAGCACCACACTCAGGACATGCACATGTTTGCAATGACAAGTTTTATTCCCCTCACATCCCCACCCCATCCTTCCTCCCCTTCCCCCTCAACCAACAGAGTCCCATCTCTCCTCCCTCCCCTATACACAGAGCTTCTCCACCACTCTCCCCATCCACCAACAATAAAATGCCTTCCTCCCAAACTGAAAATTATGTACAAGAGGCTGAGTCTCTGTCCAAGTTCTGGGATGGGGGGCTGCGGGGTGGGAGTGCCTAGGCACAGTGCCAGACAACCAGCACCCTGGCAGCAGACTACTCCCCCATGGGCCTGGGGACCACAGTGAATGCCAGGGGATCCTGTGGACAGGAGACAGTGGAGGCCCTCCTCCTGTGGGATCAGGGGCCAGGCATGGAGGGGGCTGGATATAGGCACCACTGGCCAGGCCTGGCTGGCCAGTTGCTGCTAGAGCAGTTCCACACAATGCTGCACCAGGCCTTCAGCTAGGCTCAGTATGCCCAGTCCTATGCTTTCTCCTGAGATATTTCCTGGGTGATGTCTTCCTCCTGCCAGGCCAGCTTCCACACCAACAAGTTTTCTATGACCGCCACCAGCTGCTGGAACAGGAGGGTCCAGTCCCTGGTGCACTGCTGACACAGCAGACATGTCTGGGAGGCTCCAGTGGTGGGTGGTGGTGACCCTGAGGTGGCACTCTCTCAGGGTCCTGCGGCTTCTCTCCCATGTCCAAATGTTGGCTCTGCAGAGGCAAGAGGCAGAAGCCTTTTGTTAGTTTGTAACACTGAAGAGATAAGATACTCTGCATTAGGAGCCCTAAATTGCCCAGCCTCAGATTGGGGGAGGGGTGGGGGTTCCCAGTCCTCTCCATCCCGGGGTGCTGCCTCCTTTGGGAGGCTCCCAGGGACCAGCCCCATCCCTGCACTGCTGCTGTGCCTCAAGCATGCTCCTGCTGCATGTGCCCTGAGTGGTGTGTGATAAGCTGTCTGTGTGGGCAGAGGGCCGTCCAAGCCACTACACCCTGCTGCTGCCAATCCTGCTGGTGCCCCAGGCATACCTGGACTTCTGGTTGGGGACCCTGAGCTACAATGGTATGGGGGGAAAGCCTGGGCTGCCCCTTAACCTCCATTGCCACCTGGACAGCTACCTGTCACAGTGTTACACGTGGGTGCAGCACCTGGGGAGGTGGGTGGGGCACAGCACTGAAGGCCTAAGTGCCCTTCCTCTGGTGAAGTGTCACCAAAGTCATCAGGGAAGTGTACAGGTGAGGCCAGGTTGCCTCTGCTGGTAGCACTAGCAGGGGTGTGGCCTGTCCCCCAGGGTACCAAAATGAGGGTCAGCTGCCTCATGGAGGGTGTGGTCTTACAGGCATGATGGACCAATGACTGAAGTCAGTCATGGCCACCCGCTGTGCCTGCAGGGCCTTGGCCTTCAACAGCACTGATGAACCATCTGGGAGTGGCCTTGTGCATGCATCCTGGCTGAGATGGCCCCATAAATGTGGGCATACCCACACCCACCCCACAGAAATTGCCTCTGGACTTTGGCCCTGTCCCAGAGTACCATAAGGTTGTGCACCTCCTTGGGGGTTCAGTAGGGGGCCCAGGAACTCAGGATAGTTGTGGGCATGTGGGCAGAGCCAGGACTGGGTGAGGAAGACTTGTTCAACATGGTTCCTATGCAAGCTCTTGAGGACCCTGCATGGCTGTCCCTGTGATGTTGGCCCTGGATGGCTGGCAGCAGCACCCAGTACAGGGGCACGCCCAGGGATGGGGAGCCACATGGCAGAAATGCTTCACCATAGTGCCTGAAAATGAGAGAGAGCTGGGGGTGAGGAGCAGCAAGAAGCAGGTGCTGGCCCTGCTGCTATAGCGAGAAGGGTCAGCAGCCCTGGGCAAAACCTCAAGGCTGGGCTGCAGACCTTTGCAATGCTCACTTGTGGCCAAGGAGCAGCTCTACCTAGGGGATAGGATGGGCAGAGGCTTCTTGGGTCCTGTCCAATGGAGCAAATGGGGCCTGATGGGCTGCTGCAGGCATCACTGGCTTCCTGTGCAGTGTGCCCCAAGGCACAAAATGGCTGGGGGCTTTTATAGCCTGCAGCTAAGGGCTGCCATAGAGTAGCCCAGGCATGGAGGAGGAGAGGTGACCAGCCAGGAGCTCTGGGGTTGGGCTCCGGCTGGCTCCCTAGTGGCTGGGCAGACCCAGGACTAAAGTCCCTGAGTTAATGTACATTAATTCATCTACACGTATGTTAATCTGCATTAAGTAATCCTGTTTAGCTTTGATACTTGGTTTGGGCAGGTATCAAATTTAGGCTCACACAGCCTAAAATCACCATTTTTAAGCTGCATTAAGGGTATGCATGTGTAGACATGTGCCCCTAATGTGGGTTAAATTGGGCTAATCTGCATTAAGTGACCACATGTAGACAGTCCCTTTTAGGTCTTCCTAGTAACAGGGGCAGGGGTTCCTTGTTACATTCTGATAGTATTCCTGCTTGGGATTTTAGCATTCTCTCTTCATGTGTCTTTATTATTTCATCATCTCTTATCAAATGTACTTGCTGGATATTCTTCAAGAGAATCCCAAGTGCTCCATAGATTAATTTTGGTCTTTCTTTTCTTTCCTCTCGCTTATTTCATCTTCACTGATTTTATTAATATACAGTCAGTGTGCCTTTGCTATTTTGGTAGTTTATAGTAGGTAATTTTGGTTTCCCATCTAAGGTAACTTTTATACAACTGTATTTCAAACTACTGAATTTACTACCTTCAATTTTATGAATCTCTCCTTATGAATGCTGTTCGCCATCTCTGTGTGGGTGTCCATATTCTGCCATAATTATTAAAGCCAAATGTTCTGTGAGGCTTGGATAATATTTGTATTATAAGCCTAGGGGCTTATAATCAAAAAGGTCCACTTACATTCTAGTTTGTCTGGATATTGCCATCAGGTTTTTATGGTTGGCTTGAAGTGAGTTTTAGCGGAACCAGCAAGATAGTCATGGGAGAAGGCAAAGACAGATAAAGTTTGTAGGAAAAAAACAAACATTCAAACAGAAAATTCTTTTTATGTCCCTTTCCACATATGCCAAAATTGCTAGCATGAACATTTTCTAAGGCAAATTTAATTTATGTTCAAGTCTGAGGCGTAGTTTTTAAGATCCCCTTTTCCCTGTTCCCATCAATCCTCCTCCCTCACTTTAATAACACTGCACTTTAGAATTGTATTGGTGTATATGGTTTTGTGTGTGCACATTTAGATACACACATACACACACCACCTTTGGAAGATTGTATATTTGTGTGCATATTATATATTACACATTCATTCTCATTCAAGAAATTTCTCTAGGACCCTTCCTAAAATTCCAAGATTTGGAGTAGCATCAGCCACCAAAACATTTGACAAACCTATTGGACATATATTGCCTTCTTTTCCTCCAATATTAAGCCCTGGACCAGAGACAAACTTTAATTCTGATGGCTTCTGATACAACAGGCCTAAAACAATAGGTGGGTTAAAAATCAAACTGAAAATGTCTGGTCAACCCTTAAAAGAAAATTTTGGGGGAAAACCTAAAAAAAAAGAGAGAGAGAGAGACTGTCTCTCATAGACCATTATGTTTCCCTTTTGCACAGGGCCAAGCTAAGGACTTTTGGAAATACTGAAGGATGATTCTTGAGACGCCCTTCATTTTATACACACACATACACACTCATTTCTCCATCTCTTGGAGCTCTGTATAAGTGGGGCTCACAAGAGCATCCTGAAAGGATTTTTATTTTTTGAGGAGAATATTAAAAATGGTAACAATAAAAGGAATCAGACAATAACATGTTCAGGTTAGTGGTCAGCTCAACTTTAATCGAAGAGGTGAAGATTTAAAAGGTCGTATATACTCCCACTTCTAACCCTCCTAACTCCTTTAATTAATTACAGGCCAGTTTAAAGTAGTTGTAAGTATTCATGGGATGATCATGCATTTAAATATTTTTTCTATAATTGTGATTAATTAACATGTATTCAGAGTACAATAATGAAAAAACAAATCAGTGAAAATATAACTCTTAAAATGCTGAATACTCACTGCAGGAGGAATGGACTCTAGCATTAACCCTTTCAAAGCTGATCTCAGTTTAGAAGAAGAATGAAAACACCACAGACTAAAGGTTTGATCAGTTGCTGGATTTATAACAGCTAAAGGGATAAATTATGAAGAAAAAACAAATACAAAAAAACTATTAAAGAGTGAGCTGAGGATTTTCTTCAGGCAATCACAATTTATTGGGAGTTTGGGTTTTAAACACATTGTAAAGGTTTTTATCACTAGATTTAGTCCTCTCTCATAAGGACAGAATAAGCTTCTACCTAAAGTTTGCTTCCTAAACAAACATGGAAACAAGACTTTTTTTCTTGTAGCTCACATATGTATTTATCCTACAGTAAAATACTTACAAGAGTATTTTACTGTACTCGGTACTTAGCCCCTCGCCCTCCATCTACTTTCTTTAACGGTTTTCTTTCTCCTCACCCACTCGTTTTCTCTTATCTTTCCTTCTTCCCTTTTTTCTTATTCATAGCTTCTCTTCTACCTTGTTGTTCACATGGAACATGCATTTTAGTGGCTTTTGACTGAACAGTAACACAGACTCTTGGGACACATCAGCTTGACCTACACTTATATTTATCTCTGCCAGCAAGCTGCCAGAGCACATGTACATCCATGCACTTCTGGAGGCTCCCTGTGGCTCCACTCAGCAGCTGTGCTACCAGAGCAGGCAATGCACCCTGATAAGGACTGCAGCAGCCAACAGAAAGCACTGGAGTGTATACCTGTGTCATCAGCTGGGAGGCAGCAGCAGTGTTACATAAGAATATCAGAATTGCCATGTACTGCATCAGACCATAAGTCCATCTTGCCTAGTATCCTGTGTCACACAGTGGCAGAGAAAGATGCTGAAAGGAAGGTTAAATTGGGTATGACCAGGGCTTTTTCCACTGTTCCTTTCTCACTTGCAGCCTCCAGCATTTAGTACTTGCATACCTTAAGTAGTTTGCCTTGCTGTAGTCAAGAGTACATTCCTGCTTCTCTCCTTCCATATCACCCAAACTTTCTTCCCCTTTTTTTTACTCTCCCCTACTGCCTCTCTGTCCTGTTACCTATATTTCTAACTCAGAAGTATTTTTAGGTATTGCCCTGTGCACCTCCCACTGTAATCTAAGCAGTGTATGTTTTTCCATCTCTTCATATTTGGAGAGGAGACACTAATAATACTTATGATGGGCTACCCACACCTTTTCTAGGTCTATCTGGTCACTGCCTCTTTTGCCACACAGGGTCTGGACATAAAGAGAGGACTCCATCAGACATTGCCTAGAAGGATACAGAGGCAAATAAATCCATTCTTTGCTTGATAGAGGCAAGGTCTTCACAGGGAGAGTTACCATTAGATTTAGATCAAATTGAAATAATCCAAGCTTTAATTACAAGCACATAAAAGTCACCAGAAGAGTGCTTTGGCTCTTGAAAAAAAGAGCATTTTAACTCTCAACAATCAATTTTCAATTATGGGAATGAGGAGTCTACAAATATGGGGCTAAATCTGTCTCTGGGATAAACACTCCATTGAATTCAAACTTTACTACTCAAATGCAGAGAGGCTTCTGTTAGAGCAGATGCAGAAGAAAGAATGATGAATGAAAGGGGGAGAGAGACAAAAGAGAAGAAAAACAAAAGAATTTAATTAAGGTAATTGATTTAAAAATATGGGATAACTTTATAGTGCATGTATTCACCTTTTGTTCCATGACTACAGCAGAGGCAGGATGAGCACTCCTTGTTAATGGTGTTTGCTTGGCTTGTGCCCAGGTTGCTACTCTGTCAGAACATTCCATCAGCACATTTCCTTTCTTCATTACTATGAAAGTTGCAGGAGAAAAAGATTATTTTTATGTTCCTTTCCTTTAATCTCCTATTTTTAGAAATTTGGCAGAATCCAAATCAGAACAGACCTCTTTTCTTTTTTCTCTCAAGTTATAAGTTTAATCAAATAATGAAGTGGAAGAAGACGACAACAGAAACAGTTAGGGTGACATGGTCTCTGGTCTTTTACATTCATTGTTAGGTACACAGGAGAAATCAAATTCCAATGTTTGTTGAAGGGCTTACCTTTGCCTATTTGTCAAAAATAGTTTCAAATAACACATTGCCATCAACATTTAGCATTTTGTAGCAGTTATGTTCAACTCCTAGGAGTGCTACATGTTTCCTGATACTATTTCTTTTAGACAGGGTCCTAGACGTTCACATTGCAATAAGTAACCTAACACGTTGTCTGTTGTTGGTGATATGAACCAGCTCCTTGTTTCTCTTTACAGCACATTCTTTAATGCAAAACTTTTGCTGCTGCTGTTTTTATTTTCCATTGTTTAATTTTGGTGACAATGGTGGGGTCCTTCAATCCGAGTTTATCTAAATGAGTCTGAGTTTATTCCAAAAAGTCCAGATATTCTCCAATCTTTATTTGCAATGGGGAGGGGATGCTTATTTATCTTCATCTTTCCCATCATGGTTAAGATTGCGACTGCTTTCTTTCTTTTTCTCTCTCTCTCTTCTGGAAGGTCAATCAATCAATGGCTTCATCTTTAGCTGATTCTGATGCTATTACAAAAATCTGCCAGCAGGTGGTGCTCAGGGACCAACTACCCATTAGGCTTTGTAATACAGCTGCAGCGTAACACTTGTGCATTGTTACTGAACTCCACCATCCAGTGGCAAAACACACGTTTACTTCTGAAATCACATCCCCTACACCATAAAATGTGTCAGTTAAAGCAGCACTGTTAATGTACATGTGTAGATAATGTAACCAACATTAACACTATTATGATCCATTGGGGAAAAAGATCTGAATTTTAATTTGTGTGAGAGAATGTTTTAAAAAAAAAGTATTAGATGGTTCTTATGAGTTGTTAGAAGAATGTTAAATGAGTGCAGTAAATATAACTCTTCTGAGCTGATCAAAATCCATGTAAAGTTGTATGGTCAGAATGAGTTATTCTGATGACTGATGGCAGGCAGCCTATGAAAAATGAAATTGCAATCTTGGACCAGTTCCCAATACAAAAAGCATGTCTCTTAGGAGGTCCATTTGTTGGCTCAAATGGAAACCCATTCTTAGAACTCGTCTTAATCACAACCCTTGCCTGAGGTCTCAGAAAATAAGATGAAGGAGAAAGAGCCTGGGAATTAAAATACATTTTCATCCCTAGACTCTGTTTAGCCACCTGTATAGAAACTAAAGGGAAGAACTGAAATTGAGATATTGAAGAGTGTGGAGGAAGGACCATAATACTATTCTGTGTACATATCCTACAATGCTACGTGCAATTGAGTTGAAACGTTTTGGTAAGAGTTCTTTTAATTAATAAATCCGGTGTAGTTTTATAAGCAGGGAATCCTTCCATATTGTTACCCATCAGGCACTGCACAAAAAGCTCTAAAGCTGCTCCGAATGAAGAAACTTGTCCTTTCATATAAAGAAAAGGCTGCACTACAGTAGTATAGCTCCACTGAATTGAACGAACTAACTGAAGTCCACAATGCCACAACAATAAATTGACTATTTATACCAAAAGCTGCATGAAATGGTTTATCTGCTCAGTTGATCTGGCAAGTTTTCTGATAATTTCTATCCATACAAAATATAAATGTTAGATATCCAATGGTGTTGTTATCAAAAAAGCAAGCTGGCCACTGTTTTTGTGGTATTCACAATACATATCGTGTACACACATGCACACACTTTACACATACCTACAATATAATACATTTCTTGTGCTCCCTCTGTTGATTCACAGCCAAAAGTAATTTAATTTAAACAGGTATTTTAAATACCATTGTATCTGAAAGAAAGACAAAGATGAACATGACTAGAAAACCAGCAGCCAATACTTTAAGATCCTTTTCGGGGGAAAAATGCTTGTCAATGCCGAAAGACATTGAGGATAATTTTTCAACCTGACTAGTGATATCAAGTCCCACACATACACACACATTTTATATATATATGGGGAAGTACTTGCTGCTGACCCCTGGAGAACTTGCTCATAACATGATGCTAGTTACTCTTTTTTTCCCAGCTGTTTCTCCAGGTATTCAGATTCTTCACTGCAAATAAGATCCTGCAAAACAACCAGAACCAAAAGCTGCCAGTTAATCTGCCTACACCAGGAACTATATTCTATAAAATCAGGACTTTGGGTTGACACCTACTAATGGAAAAAAGCAGACAGGAGTTGATGGAGGGAAAGTAATGATAAGAGAGTAGAGTAGTAAAGAACCACTCAGCCAAACAGGCACACAAAGCCAGAGGCAGAAGAGGACCTTATGCCTGACCACCATGTTTATACAGGGAACGAATGGAAGGAGGAGGAAAAACATCAGGCATAGGGGGAGAAGAATAAAATCAATGGGCAAACCAAGAAAGTGTGTATAAGTTTTTGTTTTTTTTTAAAGGACATATACTCTACATATCAAAAAACAGTTAAAACATATAGCAGTGCTTCCCCAGGATGTTCCATGTGAGCACTGCCTTGGTCAATAGAGGGGTATACACAACAGTGGTCAGTGCTATCAAAAGGTTATGTATTTATTATGAGATGATCCACCTTGTGGGGAAGCCCGAGAACCACAGACTTGAACTAGCCATTGTCCTTTATAGTGTTAGCCTAATTTTTGTTTACCTCTATATTCTTGGAGTCTTTATTCATTCCCTACCCCTCCCTTCCAAAACTGTAAAACAGATATCACACTTTGAAATAGACATCATTCTTTTACATCTTGGCTTTCTGCCCAGGATATCAGTGAAGGTTTGAGAAAGATGAAACTGTCTAACGGGACTTTTCTTGAGCACAAAGCTGCTTCTCTGAAGGATTTGCTTATGTTACATTAGATACCAGTAATTTTGGTGTATAACTTACTAGCTTTACCTTTCCCTTTACACGTGAAATTTAACAGTCCTCTTATGGTTGTAAATGGAGAGAAAGGTAAATGATGATAAACAGATCCATAATCACAGAGAAACTGAAACACAAAAAAAGGGCCTAGGCTTGATCAAAGAGCACACTAAGGCATCAAAGAACAAACTGATTTGTGTTACTGACCTAGCCAAGAATTAGGTGAGCAATGACATGATGTTCTGATTCATTTTTAGAACCTCTTAAATTTGTATCTGAGAATCACATCTCTTCTGTGGAAAATGTTTATCTGCTGATATTCAGATATTCTTAGAAGAATGTTAAACCCAGAGTGCTAATAGGAATGACATCACAAACTTTTGCCCATTACTGAAACAACTGGTTTGAAATATTTGCCAATAGCTCTTTGGTGGACAGTCAAGGTATACAAGTACTGACTTCTCCCTTTACAAGGTTATGTTTTACAGAAATTCTACTGTCTCTTGTAAGTTACTAAAATACAGAGTTAATTCCTATGGCATAACCACTTACTAACATACTGGCTTTTTGCATAATTTTAATTTCTATTTAGTTTGCTCAAATTAATTTCTTACCTCACTTTGGACAGGTATTGACAGCCTGTGAACTACATGCACAAAAATGCCCAACTCTCTATTACTTTCAATACTGTACAATTATGAGTATATAGATAAATGTAACATTTCAAGCACTCTAAGTGATTTTACTGTCTTCCAAAAAGCAAGGTAACAGATGTATGCAGTCAATGAAACACTCTAAAAAGGGATGATTTGTCTAAAAAATGACCCCAGAAAAAAAAACCAGAAATAATTCTGAAGCACTCCACTATGAAGCACTTCACGTTACCATTTGCAACCTTCAACAGAGCACAATAGGTAGTTGGTCAGCCTGCCAGTAGGTCACGGTGTTCATTTCCACCTCCTCCTTGTGCTCTGAGAAGCCGCCTTTTCAAATAATGCCAAACTCCATTTCTTCAGGGACACAGGACCTGGCTGGCATGTGACCTCATCTATTTGCAATTGGGGTGAAGGCATTCTGTATCCTCATTTTGCTGGATAGCCACCCCAAGGAATCAGCATAATTTTTCTTGCCTATAATGGAATAGTACTGAGGACTCTTCAGTGTGTGAACAGTGGCCTGTGCTCAGAATGTCAGCACTGTGCGGGCCGACTCCCGATCCCGCCCGGATCGCCATGTGCGAGCTCTCTCCCGATCCCATCTGGGTCACCATGTGCGAGCCGGGGCAAGCCAGGGGCCTGTCTTTGTGTGTACACAGGCTGTGGCCGGTAGCCCGGGTACACGGGGTTGGAAAATACCGCGGTGCGGTAAGGCACGCTCGAGCTAGAATCAGTCACGGAGGCATAATGGTTGATTGAAAAGAGTATTTACTTACACCCAAGGTGGTCGTGGTGTAGGCTGGTCAGCTTTCCAGGCTCAGCTCCGCTTGAGTTCTTGGTGGAGGACTCTAATAAACTCGGTTCCTTGACCCCAGAGTGAATCAGGCTCCGCGGGGCTTAAGAATTCGTTCCCACGGAGCAGCTGTATCTCCGTGAGTGTTACTCGGTTCCCAGGTCCCCCGGAGCTGTTAAACTCCATGGGCTCGACAATTGGGTCCTTAGAATAGGGATATGTCTGGGCTGCGATCGGCGACGGGGAGAGGCTAGAGGTTAGTTGCCTCGGCGTCGTTAAGGCTCCGAGGGGACGGTAAATAAGTCCCGCGGAGTTGTTGAAGGTCCGTGGGTTCGACAAATTAAACCTCTGTTGCCCTCTTAAGGAAAAAGCTGGGTTCGTATGGATCAGCAGCGCTTAGAGATCCTCACGCTCCTTTCCCGAACTCCACGTGCTTTCTCTCTCTCCAATTTGGGCGGAAACCACCCAAGCCTTTTGTACGGCTAGCAAGCCAATAGCTAGCCGCCACGTG